CTCCGCACCTGTGGGGTATATAGGCTGGATACGTGCGCAGCGGGCAGGGACCTGTCCTTCACTTCTCACTGTCGACTCATCCTCCAACCACTTATCTTTACCCCGTACGATCATGCAGATCTTTGTTAAGACCCTTACTGGCAAGACTATCACCCTCGAGGTGGAGTCTTCTGACACCATCGACAACGTGAAGGCTAAGATCCAGGATAAGGAGGGGTAAGTGGCGGCTTGCCCTGGTTGAAGGTTGATCTTATTGAGAACGTTTCAGAATCCCCCCTGACCAGCAGCGACTCATCTTTGCTGGGAAACAGCTTGAGGATGGCCGCACGTTGTCCGACTACAACATCCAGAAGGAGTCGACTCTCCACCTCGTCCTACGTCTCCGTGGCGGCATGCAAATTTTCGTTAAGACCCTCACGGGCAAGACGATCACTTTGGAGGTCGAGTCCTCGGACACGATTGACAACGTGAAAGCGAAAATCCAAGACAAGGAGGGTATTCCCCCCGATCAGCAGCGCCTCATCTTTGCCGGCAAGCAGCTTGAGGATGGCCGTACACTTTCGGATTATAACATCCAGAAGGAGTCTACGCTTCACCTTGGTACGTATACTCGCGACGTTGCCTAGTGATCGGCCTCTAACGTTCGCACTGTAGTCCTTCGTCTCCGTGGAGGCATGCAGATCTTCGTCAAGACGCTTACGGGCAAGACGATCACTTTGGAGGTCGAGTCTTCGGACACGATTGACAACGTGAAAGCGAAGATTCAGGACAAGGAGGGTATTCCCCCCGATCAGCAGCGCCTCATCTTTGCCGGCAAGCAGCTTGAGGACGGCCGAACCCTCTCGGATTACAACATCCAGAAGGAGTCCACGCTTCACCTTGTTCTCCGTCTTCGTGGGGGTATGCAGATCTTCGTCAAGACCTTGACTGGGAAGACGATCACTCTCGAGGTCGAGTCGTCCGATACGATCGACAACGTGAAGGCGAAGATCCAGGATAAGGAGGGTATCCCGCCTGATCAGCAGCGTCTGATTTTTGCGGGCAAGCAGCTTGAGGATGGACGTACTCTTTCAGACTACAACATTCAGAAGGAGTCTACTCTTCACCTTGTCCTCCGTCTCCGTGGTGGTCAGTAGACGCTTCGCTGGCGAGCTCTCGACGTTGCATATTTGTACTTCTCTTTGGCGTGACGCCTCTACTAGTACTGTATCATAGGTCTCTTCATCAATATCGGATTATAACATGGACGAAGCGTGCGCGTGAGTCTGTCGCCGGGTTGTCAGGCTCGGCGGCCCGACGTGGTGCGACATAGCTGGGCGCCTGTTTTGTGCCCCTTGCTCCGTTTGTAGTCATGTCGCCCTGCTTCTTAGACGGACACAGTCCACCATCGTTCTCTTGTGCGAGGTATGAATATTTGTTAGTTCTGCTTCCTTAAGAGCGGGTCTCTCACCTGACTCCACCCCCAGCGCCCTGACGAGAAAGCCCACTAGAGTTCCCTATAGACACTATCGTGGGCATATGGCCGCTGCGGAAGGGTGTAGACCTCAGCTCCCCCCGTGCGCTAGTCTCAGACAAGACATTGACCATTCTTCCTCCATCCCTCTCGTACTACCGCGGGTCTCTAGGAATCGAAGTACGTTTTAGCACGGACACAGGAGAAGACGTTGATGCTAATTCATTTGCGTGCAGAATGGATGTTTTCATGACCCACATCGGCTTCGGAGTGTCGAAAGTCCAGCTGAAGGTTGAGCTGGCACGGGTCCTTCATAGTCCTGAGTATCGCCACAATCGAGGGATCCAGTTCCCAATGAACCTCGAAGTCGTTATCCACAGGAAGAAGGGCCAAACTCCTTTCAGATCGGGTCTTCTAACAGTACCCACTGTGGCCGTCGGAGAACAATTTCTTCGGGATTTTGGTGGGCCAACGCCGCCTCGCTCTTTGGTGCTAGGAACAAGGATTAAGTTTCAGCCTAGCAACAAGCCGCCTCGCTCCCACGTGCTAGAAGAAATCCGTCGCGTCCCCTACGCAGACCCTCGCGAGGAGGAAGATAAGCGACGAGTGGCGTCTGAGCTACGAGAGAAGACGATCGCCCTTCACACCGTCCAGTTTGGATGGGAGTGTCGTGATAATGTTTTCTCTATCGAGTGGGAGCGCGTCTGCGATGCTCGATGCGATCTTTACTATCACGACGAGCGTAGGGAGTTTCACATCAAGCTCTACCAGGGATACGAGACGAGGATCATATCGATCAAGGCATCCCATATAATGTGGACTTCTGCCGGCCTCGACAAGACGACGCGGCCTCCCCTCGCTGTCCTATTCCTATCGCTTAATTATCCTCCCGCCTACGAAACTGAATTGTCCCAGATTGACATGGCTATCCATCGTATGGAACTCATGGGAATCTCGGACAGTTCAGATAATCTGGGGGGCGCACCGCTTCTGCTTCCGGGCTCTGCAACGCGCAATCGCTGGTCGTACTTCGAGGACAGCCAGATACCCTTCACGCCATTTGTTTCAACCGCGATTCGCCTCGCTTGTCGTAATCCCGAAGACCTCGCGCTTTACCACAACTTATGCCACCATGCACACGTGCAAGTAGACGACTATCTGTATCCTGTGGAGTACCGCGAGCTTTTTGCGCCCGATGTGCAGGAGAGCTACAAGGCATGGGTAAAAGGATTGCCGTGGAGGGTTGCTTTCCAAGTCGAAGCTCTAGTACGAAGCATTCTTATCGACATGAAGGAGGCTCTGGGCCTACGTGCGAAGATCTCTCGGATGCTACGAGCCAAAGGCGAGGCACACGCTGCCCTGTTCCTTCGTCACTTCGCAACCCAGGCGAAGATGTTTGGGTATACGGACGACTCCCACAGCCCTACAGAATCCATAACAGATTTGTTCTCTCGTTGCGAGAGAGAATACGCGCCTGTTAAACGCAAGCGGCTTCGGGGACCTCCCAACCTGGACACTTTCGACTGTCTGCACGTCACTGTCACCCCAACCACCCATCGTCCCGAAGGACCTTACCCCGAGCGTTCAAACAGGGTCATGCGAACGTACTCGAACAATCACGACTGTTTCGTTCGAGTCAACTTCGTGGATGAGACGGACCTGCAATTTCGGTTCGACCGTGAGGTTGACGGTCGGGCGTTCATCAAGCGTCGAGTGGGAGAGGTACTCGCTAACGGGATAGTTGTCGCCGGACGATACTTCGAATTTTTGGCCTACTCGCAGTCAGCGCTGAAGGAGCATGCCGTCTGGTTCGTGAAGGAATTTCTTCTTCCGGACGGCACTGTAGTCAACGCGTGCACAATTATCGCCGGCCTCGGCGACTTCACTCGTGATCGTCAGCTCATCTATTGTCCAGCTCGTTACGGCGCTCGCATATCGCAAGCCTTCACGGCCACCGATTCTTCTGTCACGGTTGAAGCAGAAGAAGTAATCGAGGTGCCTGACATCGAGGATCCGACCGGGACCTGGTGCTTCACAGACGGTGTCGGTACTATGTCAGTGCGGCTGGCCCGGGAGATATGGAAGGTACTTGCTGCTCGTCGCCGAGGTTCCAGGTGGCAAACGTACCCGCGAGCTCTGCAGATACGTTTCCAAGGCTCCAAGGGCATGCTAAGTGTCGACCATACCCTGTCTGGTCGGGCCATCTGTTTACGTCCGTCCATGATCAAGTTCGAAGCTCTAAATTCGAATCAAATCGAAGTCGCTCGCGCATTCAATCGGCCGGGACCGTTCTACCTCAATCGACCGCTGATCATGATCTTGGAACATCTTGGTGTGCAGCATGAGGTCTTCCAGGATTTGCAAGATGCGGCTGTCATGGATGCACAACAATCCGTGGAATCTCTCGAGAAAGCGGCTCGTCTCTTGGAGACATTCGGTCTGGGAGCTTCATTCCGCCTGACCTCAGTGTTCCTTAGCCTTCACAAGCTTGCTGTTGGTCCTCTAACCGAAGACAATTTCTGGCGGAAGATGATGGACTTCGCTGTCAATCACGTCCTCCGAGAGCTGAAGCATCATGCCCGTATTCCAGTCCCAAATGCCTGGAACCTCGTTGGTGTCGCCGATGTTCACGGATACCTCGAGGAACACGAGGTATTCGGCTGCATCTATCCAACAGACGGTACAGGGCCGATCTACCTTGACGGTCGGGTATTGGTCACTCGTTCTCCAACGATTCACCCTGGCGACGTTCAAGTCGTTCAGGGGATTGGACGTCCGCCGCCTGGCTCGCCGTTCGAAAGGGAATCACTACGTAACACACTCGTGTTCTCTGTAAAAGGTCTGTTTTACTTAGAAACCATTAAGCTATCTGCTCATTGATACCCGGGTGATAGGTACTCGTCCTCTACCGTCGTACCTGGGAGGCGGAGATTTGGATGGTGCGTCGTATCCGCGGTCCCCTCGTGATTACTCGCTCACATTTGATCTAGGCGACGAATACCGCGTGACAATGCTCGATCCTCTTCTACCGCCAAGGACCTATCTGCCAGCTAGCTATACGCCCGCTGAGAAGAAGCTCCTGGATCGACCGAGTACGATGAAAGATGTAGCAGATTTTGTAATGGAATACATCAACAGCGACGTACGTGTAAATTCTGTCGAAAGCCTGTTTAAGAATAATCGTCCATCCACCAGACTTTGGGAATCATCGCATCGACATGGCTTATTATTGCGGACCAGAGTTCACTAGGGATATTCGACCCGGACTGTTTGACACTAGCTGCGTTACATTCCGATGCTGTGGACTACCCCAAGAGCGGTCAGCCCGTTCCCACATCAAAGATCCCCAGGCTTAAACTCAAGACCAAGCCGGACTGGAATGCTCCAGAGACAATCACCACTGGGAATGGCGGCAAGTACTATAGAAGCGAACGCGCTATCGGCAAGCTCTTCCGCAGCATCGATCTTCCCGCCGTAGAGACGATTCGTCGCGAGCAGAGGTCCCAACGTCGGCGGCTGGGTGAGCAGCAGCAAGCGACTGTAGAGGACATCATCTCCGAGTTAAGCGAGGACATCTACGACGACGATAGTCCCTTGCACGTCGCGCTTGTCGAGCGAGTTACAGGGTTCATTACGCTCGGCAGACACGACGAATTCCTCATCGCTGAGATCTGGGAACTCTACCTCAACTACGTCTCGCAGCTGCAGACGATCTGTGCCGACCATACGCTGTCCCATGAACGGGGCGCCATGCTCACAGAGGAAGAAACCGTCGTCGGCACCATCATGGCGAAGTGCTCGCAGCCACGGAAGCGGAAGGACCTCATGTCGAGGCTGAGAGAGCAAGCAACCACCCTCGTTGACGGTGTTCGATTCGATATGTCGGGCGAGGAGGGAACCCTGCCAGAGATGTCAATGGAAAGAGCATGGGTCGCTTTCCGTATTGCTTGCATTGAGGATGAGGCATTCGGCGCAAGGAGTTTTGCGTGGATAGCGATGGGTGAGATATTCGACGCCATCAGGGTGATAGAGGAATCGGAAGGGCTGTTTTGAATGGGGTGCCGTATCTATAAACGAGATCTTCGCGACCAACAATCCAATGTATGTGTAATACTAGATGTAAAGAAACACTATAAATACAACCATGGAAGAGAGAGACCAGGCCACGCGACTATGACTTTGTCTGACGCTTTTTCTCTTTCTTGAGGTGTATCCTCTTCTGCTCGAGGTTTTGACGCTGCAAGATATATGTTAGTGACGAAAACGCTCGGAGCAGATAGTAAATGCTGACCTCCGCTGCACGCTTCTTCTCGCCGTGCTTCATGCGTTCGTACAGCTTGCGCTGCTTGTTGCTCATCATCATCTTGTTCATATCCTCCTCGGCGACATCCTCGGGCTCCTCCTCCGCAGTGCGGACTTTCTTACGAGCCTTGCGAGCCTCCTTCTCAAACGCGCCGAAGTCGATGCCAGCAGCCTCTGCCTCCAGCTCAGCAGCGCGCAGAGCAGCTGCGTCTTCTGCAGTCGCAGCCGCCTTGAGAACTGCCTTTTCCGGGGCGTCCCCCTCGTCCTCCTCACTACCCTCGCTTCCGGCTTCTTCCTCTTCCTCGTCCTGCATTTCGGCGTTGTCGATCAAGACGCCAACAATCGGGTCGTAAGCGTCTGCTCTGTCCTGGAAGGGACTCAGATGAGGCGGCAGCGTCTTACCCTGGGCATACGGTTCCTCGAGAAGGATCTTCCCTGCGTTGATGCAGTCGACGACCCACTGTGGCTGAACAAACTTTCGCCGTTTTCTCCGTGCGCGTTCCTCCTCGGACTCGTTCTCCTTCACGATAAGAGGTCGATCAATGATAACGTGAGTAATTGACTCGTCATCCTCTTCGAACGGCGAACCAGAGCCAGAAGTTGTCGGCCAACCGATGCGACCACCGAAGGAGCGTACAAGGAACTCGAAGATCGGCCGCGACGTCTCTCGTGACAGCAGAAAAGTATAGAGGGAGAAGAGTTGCGGTGTTTTGGATTGTGGGAGGGAAGAGAGAGTCTTGAGGGTAGGAAGGGCGGCTGCCTCGTCCGGATTAGTTTGCGAAGGGTGAGCAACGAATTCCTCGTCAACTTCGGAGTCGATAGCATTGACGTCATCTTGCATCTCGACATCTTTGTCGCTTGAAACTTGGCCAGCGATGCTCTTGATCGTCTGCCGCACGTCCGAAGCAGAGATGCGTTTACCGTCAACCTCGACTTCCTTCACGTTCCTGAGAACAGGTGCCTCGACAGTACGTTTAATCTCCTGCAGATTAAACGCGCCAACACCAGCACCACCTTCATCCTTGCCAGTGTCCAGCGGTGGCGGATATACCAGACCTGCATCCGTATACAGCTTGAAGAAGACAAACCCGAGCAGGGTCTGGTAGAGTTCCAGGAAAGTCAGCATCACACGGATATCGACGTCAGACGGAACCTGCAGAACAAAAAATGAATACAACATGAAGTGACAAAAATACTGCGACGCACTGTTTGTGTGAACTGATATGGCACGAGCCATGTTACAGTTTGGTCGAAAATTTCAGCCTGGAAGTAGACGCCTTTAATGGACAGGAAGGCTTTGCGCAGTGAATGTGTGTGTATCACGTAGAGCTGCCATTCGGCGGCAAGACGCGCACAATTTTCGATCAAGGAGGGAGCGACTTTGGCGGTGGAGGGAAGGGAGGCGAAAAGAAATATCATGCATAGAGCGTCGTCTATGTCACGGACAGCATCCACGAATGTCGGATATCTGAAGGTTCGTCAAGCAATGTCTGGCTGCTATACAGCAGCGTCCACGCACCTCTCTTTGATAATGTGGTCTAGACGATACACCGGCTTGTGCTCCTCCAAGCTTTTCGCGCTGCTCCATTCACCCCGACCTAGTGCCCGAGCAAGCTTCTTCGCGAAGGCCTTGTGCTCGCGCAGCTTTGTTAAGACTGGCTCATGCGCGAGGTAAGCAATATCCTTGGCATAGTAGAAAGACGTCGGTGCAGATGAACCCTTGTTTGCCCGCTTCCTGTGTCGAGGCTCACGGGGGAAGATACCTTACTAGAATAGTTAAGTTTGAGCACCCAAAGCACAGAACAGGTACTGCTCGCCTTTGAGGATACACAGCCTGCGGAAATCTGCGAGCGAGCACTGCAACTTTTTTATGGCAGCAGTCCTGGTAACATAGGCCTTGGCTGCACCAGCCTTTCCCTTCTTTTGAAGGCGGCCCATGGCTCTCGAGAGTTGAGTGCAGACAGAAAGGATTAGACGCCCTAACTTTTAGGACGGTGTTTGGTCTGGACAAATAACGCCTGCTGCTTGACCGCTTCCACACCTGAACATGAGGTATGTCTTGTGCTCCTCCTGTTGGACATGGTCGCTGATCCAGCACAGTCAATACGTCCACGTCCCAAAGTCCGAGCTGGACGAGGCTCAGCTCCGTGCACTCGAAGAGCATGAGATCAGCCAGGGTCCATTGTCAGTACTGCAGCAGGCTGTTAGGAATCATGCCCAAGTCCTCATTTCCCTTCGCAACAACAAGAAGCTACTCGCCCGTGTGAAGGCATTCGACAGGCATAGCAATATGGTATGTTTCAGTAATGTATCTTCGTTGCCTAACTATTTATTCTTGCCCTAGGTTCTCGAGAACGTCAAGGAGGCAAGTCAGATGCGGCCTCGTATCTTGAATGGTCATACTGACTTCTCCGCAGATGTGGACCGAAGTGCCCAAGGGCAAGAACAAAAAGCCGGTCAACAAGGACCGCTTCATTAGTAAGATGTTTTTGCGGTAAGCCTTGAGTCTATTACCGTCGAAACTACAATATTGATTGTCGCTGTAGAGGAGACTCGGTGATTCTCAGTGAGTAGCCCAATATATAGTCTATGTCCCCGTTAACTGAGTTGCTGTCGCAGTCTTGCGGAACACTGCATGACGGATGTTTGTTATGGCTTGCTCAAAGCTGGCTCCCGGCGGACGAAGCAGTGGCTATTTGGGAAAAATATAGGCTGCAGTACAGATACACTGTGGTTCCCTGCGCGCCGTGCGTATGATCTATCGACTGCTCTGCATTCTGGCTGTGACTACCCTGTTGAAGTACAGGTGTGCATACGTACAATGAGATACTTTTAAACTCTCCGATATCGTATACTTATATCTCCATCCGTGTTGCCTGGTATACTTGTAAAATTTTGTGCTCTGTCGCTGTTGTCTTGGAAGTGAATGTTCTTCTGTAGTCGCTGATATAGTGTGTCATTTCGGCGCTTACCAGTAATGGTCGCGACCCTGTCGGCGGACTCAGGTCGTCACTGCTCTTCGCTTCCGTCCACTCACGTCTTGTCTCGCAAACCGTAGTGCAACGTCAAACTGGATTCCCCACTGTTAGCGTTGCCCTCATTGCTAGGCAATGGTAGGCCTATTCCACATAGGCACTAAGAGCTCGCCTTCGCGAACGACCCAGTCGACTGACTCTGCTCGCCCGATGACCCCGCCGCCTCCGCAATATGCACAGAACGGCGACGGAGCGACATATTTTGCGGCGGAAACGACGACGACTACCCATATCGTTACGACCACCCAGACCACCACTCATTTTTTCTCTCTTCCCCTTTGGCGACGTCGGACGCAGCAGCCGACACCAACGACCATTGCATCTCCTACTCCCAAATCATCCTACGCGGATGAAATGGGCATGGCACGCGGGTCTAGCCTACCAGCAAGGGATAAGGATTTGCCTCCGACTCCTCCCCTGGAGGATGAAGCTGGGCCGTCGACGCGTACCAGCAGCAGCCATCCGTCGTTGTCACACACTAGCGAATCCAGGAATATTGATCCCTCCCCAAGCCAGCCATATATTCACCGACATATCCCTCCCAGATCTACCTCCTCTTGCCTCTCACCGCCGGTGGGTGGTGCGATCCCGGAGCCCGCTTCACAGGGCACCACCGCCCTTGCGCGGGCTGCGCTTGGTCTTGGCTTGCCTCCGCTCATGTTCAACGCAATCCCAGATCCCGAGTCTTCTGACGGTTCTAACGCTATCAGCTTTGCGGTATCAGAAACGCGTCCCGAGCGTAAACCATCTATGAGTCTGTCTTCGGCCTCAATCCGCCGTGCGAAGAGTTTCCAGAGGGAATCGGACGAGGAACGGGCGCAGTCTCATGCCGCTCTTCGAGAACGGAGACGCACTCGCGGGCTGTCTTTAGGGCCATTGCTGACTTCAAACGAAGCTGTGAAAGATGAGATGCCTGCAGAACGGAAGTCTCTATCTAGGAAGAGTTCCTTCTGGTCCAGGAAACGAAACGATTCACACGCGCCCCCTCCTGTCACTGCACCTCCCGCTAACCATTTCCTGGAACAGCCATCTCTACCCTCCTTGCAGCCTGTCTCTCCATTCAACATGGAAACCTCCATCGGCGAGTCTGCTGGACAGCGGTCTGATAAATTGGAACTGCCGTCCTCTCCAGACCTGCGACGGAGGCATTCCGAAAAGTTGTCATTATCCCGTCCAGCTGTACCATCCCTAGAGCACGAGAAGTCGGAACCGTCTAAACAAGGACAAGGACAGCGTAGGCAACGAATGAAACGTCCTCAAACAGCAGGTCCTACGGCTCGTGGTTCTCGTGTTCAATCTTCACACTTTCCCGGACCTGTTCCCATTACTGCCGAGCCGGCACAAATGGAGGGCCCGGTGGAGACAACGCCGACTAACGAGATCACGTCGTGTCCGACGTCGACACCCCCCGTCTCCTCGCGCCCTCGCTCTACGACCAATCCGCCACTCCTTCACCGTTTGTCCATCAATATCTTCGGGTCGTCTCCCAGCTCTTCGCCTATTACAAGTCACGCACCCACCGACGATTTCACTCGCTCGCCTTCTACAAGTTTTTCGTCGTCTCGCCCGTCCCCCAAGGTCTCAGTAGAAATCCCGAGACCTCGTCATGACGAGGAGTCGCCCGAACTGTATCTTCAGAGGCTCACGGAAGCTGTCTCAAAAGCTGAAGTCGCAAGTGTACTTGCCGCAACGTGTGTGGTTTTCTTCACGGTAGTCTTATTCTGGTACTGATCGCAAACCTGTAGAGCTGACGAATTCCATGCCAAGGCCTTGCGTGCATATATAGCACAATTTAACTTCATGCACGACCCGCTGGACGTAGCCCTGCGAAAGTTACTGATGGAGGTCGGCTTGCCGAGGGAGACTCAACAAATAGACAGAGTGATGGAAGCGTTTGCAGAACGCTACCGACAATGCCATCCCACTCTTTTCACATCAGATGGTGAGCCTGTCCCTCATCGCACTCTTATGTATAGCTCGACGCTCAATTTATCTCGGCAGATCACCCATACATCCTTGCCTTCAGTTTGATCATGCTGCATACGGACGCGTTCAATAAGTCCAATAAACGCAAGATGACAAAGGCAGATTATATCAAGAACACTCGTTTACCTGGCGTCGCTCCGGAAATTCTAGACGTAAGAAGCCATTGGCTGATCAAACGCACCAAAGCTGATACCTGACGCTTTTAGTGCTTCTATGACAACACGGTTTTCGCGCCTTTCATATTCATCGAAGATCCTCTGGATATTAACGGACAGCGTGGATTGTTGCCTGAAGGGCCAACAGCCAGGCGCATGTCTACTCTTACGTCTTCACCGGGAAGCCTCAGTACTGGCGGATCCACTCTACTTGGAAAGAGTAATAAAGTTGACCCTTATTACCTTATCACTTGGGTACGTCTAAGATACCTACCAATGTTCCTGAAACCGACGATCTCTCTGATAGAATTTGCTGGATGACCTTCGCGTCGACATTCGCTCGCATATACCCCTCACTAGCCCGTATCTCTATCAGGGTACAGGTGGCACATGGAACGAAGACAAGCTTCTCCGGGCATTTGCCACAGCTGGTGTTGTGGAGATCACCTCGGAAAACCGGTACATTGCCTCACCGTGGTTCGGTCTTAACGTTGGTGGAGGGCCTAGCACGGTAGCTATGATGTCCGCGCCGACCTTTCCCGCTGTTCATGACCTTGTTACTTTGACGGTAACAAAGGTCGGACAATTGCTCCGGAAAGAAGAGATCCTTGAAGGGGGGCGGAAGGCTAGCAGTCGCAAGTGGAGGGAATGGAGTGTGCTATTGACGGGCTCGCAGCTGCTCTTCTCTCGTGATCCCAATTGGGCAACCATGGTACAGACCCAATCACATATCAAGAACAGAGCAAGCGCGGCTGGGTCCCACCCGCTGTTGCCCAGGCCGGATGAAATGCTGTCCCTGAGAGATGCTGTTGCCGTCTATGACCAGTCTTATGATAAGGTGAGTAGACTGACGCGGCTAAGATTTCGACCAACGTCTGACATACGAGCTAGCACACGAATACCCTTCGATTGGTCATATCAGACGGCCGCCATTACCTTCTGCAGGCGAAGGACGAGCAGGACTTGAACGAATGGATTTCATGTGTCAATTACGCCTCCACGTTCAAAAGCACCGGTGTCCGCATGCGCTCGTTGGGTATGTCTGGCAAGGATATAGAGCTCACCGGACAAGCCGCTGCTGTATCGCATTTGCGAGACATCCAGCATCGAGATCGGCCATCCCCAGCCTCCCGAATAAAGACTTGGGACGGAAGGACTTCACCTGCAGCGGAGTCGTATCAAACCTCGTCGGAACATACGCGCACTCCTAGCGAGACGACCAGCGAAGAGCCTGTCACTCCTCCCTTGGAGAATCCTTCGGGGCTATTCAAAGCAACCTTTGACCAGGTGAAAGCTGAACTTGCCTCAGGGAACTGGCAGGGACTCGACACAATCAGCGTTCGCTCCGGCCGACGAACCCGCGCTTGCAGTCTTGAATCTGCCTTTCAATCACCTGTATCCCCGGAGTTGGCAGAGGAAGGCCATCGGATACCATCTCGTACGCGCATCATTCAGTCTAAAGTGCACGATCTAGAGAGCAAGCTGGCTGTGCAGCGATCACAGCTCGATGCCGACATGCGTTTCGTCAAGAATGTGGCTATTCTCGCACCGTTTCAGCGCGCCACGCGCGACCGTCTTCAGCTCGCAGTGCAAAATGTTGGCAAGCGTATCATGCAAATTCGCCTAGAGCTGGAGAAACTGAGCTGTCATCGGGATGTCCTCATCAAGGACCTCGAAGCGGAAGAACGCGATTGGGAGCGGACAAAGAATATGGCGCTGCGGGCTGCCAAGCTGGAGCTGGAGCGGAAGCATAGCATGCCTCAAATGTCGTTGTCTGTGCGTATTGACGACAAGGCGTCGTCGCCCATTGGTGGCGAATATCCGCAAGAAGGCCCGTCAACCGAAACCTGGCCTCAGTCCGCGGCAGAGTCGTTCCATTCAGCTCTTGATTTCCCCATCTACTCCGGCTCTGAAGACAAACAGCGGCTGTCTGTCGTCGCTACTCTTGACTCGCCGGCTTCTACTGTTCCTTCGGACGGCCTGTCGTCGCCCTTCCCTGACGCTCCGAGACCCCTGCCGCTTAGCGCCCATAGCTCAATGGACGGCGGTCCCAACCTCGTTGAGACCGGAGAGTCATCTCGGGCAAGCGTCGTACCCGAGACTTTCGAGGAGCAGGCGGAAGAATGGAATAAGACTCGTGCGGCGAAACGAGTGTCTCTGGTCCGCCTTCCGTCTGACCTGCGAATGTCTGTGCTGCTTGGAAAGCACACCCGCAACCAGACGCAGATACCGTCGGAGGATAGTGGCACCACTATAACTCCAGGACGGGCATATCATCCAGCATATCATCCAGCTAGCTCATTGTTCTCGCCGTCCACACGGGCGAATTCAACGATTGACGATGTGTTAGACCATTAATACTTCACTCCTTCAACCAGCGCATTCTTTGTTCCTCGTCCACGTTCATCTCCGCCGTTGTCGTTGCTGTCGCCGTTCTTTTGAGCATCTTATCCTTATTCAATCATAGTTCACAGTAGATCGGTCGGAATACAACCTGTACGCATACTCATTTTGACTACCTCTACAGTAGACAGCCATAGTAGTACCAAGCCATTCTTGTCTCGCTGCATTCTGTCTGCAGAGGCATTTACAGCCAAACTGCGGGGGCTGATGAGATCAAAACGGCAAGTCAGGAACCGGCTAGTAAAATTAATTATCAGCTGAAGCCCCGACGGTGGCGTCGCTAGGCGGCCTGTCGGGAGGGCGTAACCATCGCCCTCGGGCAGCGTCCCTGGGCTCCCGACCATGGTGTCTTGACTCTGCGTAATTTCTCCGCCCTCCTGCCTCTCGCCTCTCCGCCCGCCCCTGCCCTTCCTCTCCCCCGCCCTTACCCACTCCCCTTTCGCCGCCGTCGCTGCGGCCTCTCCGTGCTATCTCCCAGCTCCAAGCGTTTCACTCCCAATTGATCTCTTTCCTTATCACCCTCATCAGATTCTACTCCCATAGGACCTCCTCCAGACGTGTTTGACTAAGTTCAAGCTATGGCGGCGTCCGGCACGCCTCACACACACAAGAGAGGCAGTCTTCACCGACTGTCGCATACCATCCTTTCCCTGGCGTCGCCGCCGTTCTCGCGCGTGTCTTTCGACGCGCAAGGCTTTGGCTCGCGCAAGAAGTCGCCTATCAAGACAAGCCCGACCGGGGGTCTGCCCGCCACATCTATCCTGGCCTCGACGCGCGAGAGATCCAGCTATTACACGCCATCAATTGCCTCTGCAGTAGAATCCCAGCTGTCGCACAGCCCTCTATTGCCCCCGACGCCGCACTGGCCGGCGATTGACGTGGTCGCGCCAGTGCCACCTACGACGAACGAGCTGTCAGAAGAGGAGAAGATGAAGCTGATGAAGAAAGTGCGGAAGCTGAGCAAGGTCCTGGGCGAGGTACCGGTGCCAGCTGCAGACGAGGAGCAGCTCATGCCGCCCGCGGACGACGACTCACCGAAGATGCTTTCGGCAGCTGCGAAGAAGGCGTTCCGGCGGAGCCTGACGTTCGGGCATTCGACGAATGTGGTGCTGCTGGACGCACAGGAGGTGCAACGGGCGAAGTCGGTCGGTGCCTTGCGGCCGTCGTTACATGTCCCCCGGCGGTGTCCGTCAGAGGACACGCTGAACACGCTAGCCACCCCTGGCTCGCCGATCCTGTTTGCGCGTCCGAAGGGTGCCCGGTCGAGCCATGACGTCTCCGAGACCGCCTCTGTGTCTGAAGCGCGCGACCTCAGGCGGAGGGACTCGACCGCCTCGTCGGTGCTCCTCGCCGACCAGAACGTGGAGCAGGTGCAGCGCACGCGCGTGGCGAAGCTCTCGAGGCACTTTGGCACGAGCATTCCGCCCGAGGTCCTGCACCGCGCGACGTCACCGCCGCCATCGAGCTCTTCGGCGCTTTTGCCTTCACCGACGGCGGTTCTTAGCTCGGCTCAGCTCCCGCGACGCTCGTCGTCGCTTCGTCGGGTGCGGCGCCGCCGGCCTGCCAGCCTTGACATTCGACCGATTCCGGGCATCGTACCTCTGCCGCACAGTCCTCCGGGCTCGCCGTCGGAGCAGACGAAACCGGGAGGCAGCTTGAAGCGAAGCAGATCTCTGTGGGCCAAGCGGCCAAAGGAGTATGAGGATGCGATGGTGAAAGACGAGGACAAAAGCGAACCCGAGTTGACCCTGCCGCGGCCAGTGTCGTTGAGCGAGAAGCAACGTGTGTTGAATGTCAAGCGAGCCCGGAAAATGGCGCAGGTGCGTGCTTCTATCATTTCTCATGTCTAATTATCTGACTAGACCGCTCTATCATGTGATCTACAGCTTTTTGGCGACAATCCACCGTCCGCGCTGTTCCAGGTCACGAACTTCGCACCTGGGTTCGCTGAGGACGGTGACGGGACTGGCCACCATAACTCCGACGGCCATCGCTATGAACGTGACTCGCTTGCCACAATCATCTCGATCTCGACGACTTCTCTCTCCCCAATGCTGTCAGCAACGGGCAAGTCGAAGTTGCGCGATTCGTTTCTTACAACCTCCTCCGAGATATCGGGTCTAGTCCTGACGGGGGATGAAGATGAACCCGAGGAAAAGAAGAGGTCTGTGTCCCAAGAGTCGGAAGACATAACAAATCAGGCGCAGAGCTCGACTGTCTCGATCCTGAGTCCACTGCCGG